AGCAAAAAGAGAAAGTACAATAGATAATCTTCATGGGAAAATGTCCTAAGTGAGAAATGGCGATGTAGGTGGCAGGAGAGGACAGAGACTGTGAGAAAGATCACATTGGAAAACTACAGAACAGATGTTTAAAACATCAATGACTTCACTATTTTCACTATTATATACAAATATAAACCTATACATAATAGACAAAAACAATTGAAAATGAGCTTTAAGAAATGAACCCACTTGGTGTCATTGCTATGTATCTGAGCATCTGTGCAGGCCAAATGTCTGGCTGGCAGTGTGCTCAAAGTTTAGGAGCTGTCAGCTATCTCATGGCTTTGCAGGCTGGCCATCATGTAAGGATTCCAAGAAAGTACAAAGCCTGGGAGACAGACACACAGACACACACACCCATGCTTCTCACAGAGTGTGGGCTTGGAAAGAATGGAGACCTTTAGGCAGAAAACAGGAGTCCCTCCGTTCTCTGACACCACACAGAACTCAGTGTTCACCCCCTTCATCTTTGAGGGTCAGCCCAAAAGTTGACTATGCACTGCCACAAGGTACACAAATAGGGGAACATGTGGGACACGTGGAAATTTGAGTGACCCGCATACTAAAAAGCACTTTGCAATCAGCAGTAGCTTCCAATGCACAAAGATAGGAAGCTTCTAAGGTTGCAGCAGCAGCACCCAGGTGGGAAACTGACCTTTAACCAGAGCTACTTGGAACTCACAAATAACTCCCATCCACGCACAGGAAAATGCAAGAAATGCAATTTAATTCTCATCAATGAGTGTGGTGAAAGGGAGGAGGGAGGAAGGAAGCGGGAAGGACCAGCACTAGTATCCAGGAACACGTGGGTACACAGAAACTGAGTTTTTCCCCAGTCCACAAAGGAGAAACTCCACAGCATCCCTCCCACTACCAAATCCTTCCTAAACAGTGAAGGCATCAAATTAAGGCTATCGGGGATTAAAATCTCCAACCAATGAATTTGCATGAGATGTATAAATCCCAATACAGCAATACAAGATAGATAGATAGATAGATAGATAGATAGATAGATAGATAGATAGAAAGATAGAAAGATAGATAGATAGATATAGTATAGCTCTCTCTATATATATTTAAAAAGACAACAGGACACTTCTAAAGATGAACAATCACACTTAACAAAAACACTAAGGATAGTGAAGAGGAAGAAAGACTAAAAGAACTCAAAAGCATAATCGTAAGAAATATCAACGAAATGAAAGAGGGCATGTATAAAAAGATGAATTAATTCAAAAATTATACTAATAAACAGAAGCTCAGATAAATAAGCAACTAAATGGTAGAAGGCAAACAATACATGATAGAGGAATTTAATAAAGATGCAGAAATCAGAGGAAAGAACCAAACTGAAATTCTGGCAATGTAAAGCTCAATAATTCCACTCAATAATTAAACCTCTGTGAAGTCTCTCCAGTACAGTGAATCAAACTGGAGGCAGAATATCAGGTCTTGAGAATAAGGTAGATAGGTTAGGACAATTAGATGGAAGAAAAGAGAGATAAAAAAAAAAAACATAGAAAACCTCCGGGATAGTATTGAGAGGTAAAACTTAACACTCATGGGCTTAGAAGAAGGAGAAGACATGTAAGCTAAAGGAATAGAAAATATCTCCAGTGATCTAATAGGAGAAAGTTTCCCTAAATCTTTGGCAGGAAACTGCCATTGAACTATAGAAGGCTTTTAAGACACCTGATAGACCAAACAAGAAATGCATCACTGTAAGACATGCCATGATTAAAGCATGTAGTGTGTAAAATAACTCTGAAAGCTGCAACAGAGAAGCACCAAGTCACAAATGAAGGTAAGCCTGGCAGAATAATAGATTTCTTACCAGAAGCAAGGAAGGCATAGTATGATGTGTTTGCAACACTAGAAGGAAAAAACCCATCAACCCCCCATTCATAACTGGGGGCGTAAAAAATAGAAATCCTCTAGGAGATACAAAAATGAAATCAAATTATGACCACTTAACTAGCACTATACATCCAGAAGAGGAAGCTAAATGTAACTGTGGAAATAGGGGATAAAATAAATCCCTCCAGATGAGCCTATGAGCAAATGACGAATAGGAAAGGACAAAACAACAAAAAAAACAGCAATTACTGTGCACCTTTCAATAAGAGCATTGAGCATCAGAAGTCTTAATTCACAAGTTAAAGAAGACATGGAATGTATTGAATTAAAAATCATGACCTATTTGTTGCCTATAAGAGATGTATTTTATTGACAAAAATAATCATTGGCTTGGAGTAAAAGGGTGAGGGAAAAGCTAAATCTACCTATTGCTAGGTGTTTGTGTTTCCTGTCTGTAATCCTAGCTACTTAAGAGGCTGAGATCTGAGGATAGAAGTTCAAAGCCAGCCTGGGCAGGAAAGTCTGTGAGACTCTTATCTCCAATAAACCACCAGAAAGCAGGAAGTGGTGCTGTGGCTCAAGTGGTAGAGTGGTTGCCTTAAGCAGAAGATAATGCTCGGGCCCAGAGTTCAAGCCCCACGACTGACAAAAAAAAAAAAAAAGGAAGCAAGAACAAGAGTCCCTCAGTTCCAGCCCCAGTACTAGAAAACAAGCAAACAACAGGATAGCAACTCCAAAACAATGAGAGTAAATAACCTCAATATCTTCTTATCGCCAAAGATAGGTTAACCAGACCAAAGAAACCTCAAAACTAAATGACACTAAAGACCAAATAGACCAGACAGAAATCTACACAGCTATACTCTACACATTCTATGGAACAGTCTATGGAACTTTTGCCAAACTAGACCATATCTTCAGACGTAAAATCTTACACATACAACTCTGTACTCTATCGCAACATAATAGGGTAAAGCTAGAACTCAACAACTGAGAATATTCAAACACCTGGAGTGTGAACAGCACATGGGTGAACAATGATCCTGAAGAAATGGGAGGGAAATCATGGGGTCCTAGAAGCCGACGGAAATGAGAACATAAACCTGCCAAGATCTTTGGGACACAGCAGAGGCAGCGTGAAGAGGAAAGTGTATTGCTATAAACATCCACATTTAAGGAAAAAGAGGTACATTTAAGGAAAAATGGCCTAATGATGTACCTGAAACCCCTAGAAATAGAACTAATGAAACCCCAAATTAGCAGATGGAAAGAAACTGTAAAGGTTAGGACAGAAATCAACGAAATAGAGACTTAAAAATCTATATGGAGAATTAGCAAAACAGAAAGATTTTTGAAGAGATAAATGAGATTAATAAAAATGCTCACCAAATCTAAGTACAAGGAGGAGGGAAAAGTTCCAAATAAATAAAGTTAGAGATGAAATCAGAGATAACACAATAAATACCAGTGAAAGCTACATCATGAAAAAAAATACTTTCAAAACTAGAAAGCCAGAAAAAATAGATGCATTTCTAGATGCACTTGACATACTAAAATTGAATCAAGAAGATATAAACCAACTAAACAGATCCACAACAAGCCATGAGATGGAGGCAGTAAAAGTTTCCCCAAGAAGAAAAGCCAAGACTCAATGGATTCACTGCCAAATTCTCCCAGATCTTTAAAGAAAATTCAGTTTTCCACAAAACAGAAAGGGTGTAGTAAAGATGAGCAAGAGGCAAGTAAGCCAGGGAGTCTAATGTTTACACATTCAGGTGTAAAATGCCATGGGTGAAACTCTTGTAAACAATTAATATACATTTTTTTAAGGAAATGAAAGGTTGGGCTCTAGTGCCCTATAATCTTAGCTACTCAGGAGGCTGAGATTCGAGGATCACAGTTTGAAGCCAGCCTGGGTAGGAAAGTCCACGAGACTCTTATCTACAATTAACTACGTAGAAAAAGCCACAAGTGGTGTTGTGGCTCAAGTGGTAGAGTGCTAGCCTTCAGCAAAAGAATCTCCGGGGCAGTGCCAGGACCTGAGCTCAAGCCCCAGGACGGGTACAAAAAAGAAAAGAAAGAAAAGGAACGACAGGAATCCGAAACAACCTAGATGTGTCCATCAACAGATACAGACTTTAAAAAATTTTAATACATGCATGCATACATGTATACACACAACAGAATACACACAATCCAATAGTGTTTATTCTTCAAAAACTGAATCTAAGTTTGAGATATGTGGCATTCCAGCTAAAACTGCAGAAGTGACCGGCTCACAGTTCAGGGCATTCAGCCACCTTTTGATAGACTAGAAAGCCTTTTAGTTTAGTAGTCATTAATGCCTGTCCAGGACTTGTTTTGGGGGGTGATAGTGGTGGCTCACATGTGTAATGCCAGCGACTTGGTGGTCAGAGATAGGAGGAGAGCGGGTCTGAAATGAGCCCAGGCAAAGGTAGAGAGACCCCATCTCAAAGATGAAGATGGACGTGGTGGTATTCTTCTAGACCCCCAGCTGCTTAGGAGGCAGAGAGGTCACAGGATCCCTGGGCTCAGAAGAAAAACGACTAAATAAACGACTAAAATAAAATAGTGGGGGATGGGGTTAAGTTGATACACTAGTTTCCCAAGCAAGCCTGCTCAGCTCAATCCTCACTGCTAGCTAAAATAATAACAATAAGAATAGCAATAATTGCAATAGTAGTAATAATAGCAATAACAATAATTGCAATGGCAATAATAATAGTAATGATAATTGCAATAGTAATAATAATAGCAATAATAGTAATAATGATAGCAATAGTAATATAATTGCAATAGTAGCAATAATAGCAATAATTGCAATAGTAATAATAATAGCAATAGTCATAATAGCAATAATAGTAATAATGATAGCAATAGTAATAATAATTGCAATAGTAGCAATAATAGCAATAATTGCAATAGTAATAATAATAGCAATAGTCATAATAGCAATAATAGTAATAATGATAGCAATAGTAATAATAATTGCAATAGTAATAATTAATAATAATAATAGCAGGAGTGATGATCACGGCAGGCCCCTGGCCGCACGTCCCCGCGGCCCCGCACGTCCCCACGCAGCCCCGCGCGGCCCCGCGGACAGACGCAGGCGTAGCGGCCCGGGCGGTCGAGGCAGGCGGCTGGCGGCGCGCAGGCCCCAGGCGCCCTCGTCCACATCTGTCTCGCAGCGGCCGCCCTGGAAGCCCGGCACGCAGAAGCAGGCGTAGCCGGCGCCCGCGCCCCGGCACCGCGTGGCGGCCGGGCCCCGAGGCGCACGCGGCCGCCGCGGCCGCCACCTCGCACCCGAGCGCCCGGCCGGGCAGACGCAGGCCGGCCCGCCAGGGCCCGGGCCGCACAGCCCGCTGTGCCCGCAGCCGCTCGGGCCGCAGGCCCACCCCGGGCGGCGGCCGCGGGACGCAGAGCGGCAGCCGGTGCTGTATCCACTGCAGAAGCGTCTGCGAGGGAGAAAAGGGAAACAAAGACAATGGATATCAAGACTTAAATGACATCTATAATATCTCCTACCGTATCTATAGTCTGTATAGATATCTATTCAGATCTATTAATAGAGTAATATCTATACCATAATCTATTAATCTATGATATATTATTATATATCTATTAATATCTACTATATATTATAATCTATATATCTATATTTATCATATACATCTATTACTATCTATGTAGATATCTATAATTGATATTAAGAGATATATATGAAGACTTAAATTACATATATAATATAAATATATCAAGACTTAAATATGTAATAGGTAAATTATATACTAAAAATATGATACAATGAATAAATATATATCAAGACTTACATGAAATATATAATAAAATGAATGAATATATATCAAGACTTAAATGACATATAATAAAATTAATAAATGTATCGACTTAAATGAAATATATAAAATTAATAAATATAGCTATCAAGACTTAAGTGAAATATATAATAAAATGAGTATATATATATATATATCAAGACTTATTCAATAAATACATATGTCTATCAAGACGTAGTCTACCCAGGGGTTGAGGTGAACTTTCTTTTTGACCTGCCGACCACCTCAAGACATGCATTAATGAAGGCGCAGCAGTCTGCACCTAACGGTGTTTTAAGTCCACATCTGTCAAAAACTTTTATACAGTTGCTAATCAGAAACAGAAGCGGACGGCACCGAGAAGATGGGATTTGAGGGGATGGGCAGCGACAGCGATCGATGCAGCTGCAGCGAGCTCAGCCTGACGCGTCGGGTCAACCTTCCTACAGCTACTTAAGGAGAATACTTTTTTTTTTAAGTTTGATAAAAGAAACAAAGACGACCGACGCTCTTTTTTCTCATTTCCTGGTGGGGCTGCAGCTCCGCGGGGTGAGGGGACGGAAGGAAGCGGCTTTAACCCTCACTGCCGGCTGGGGGGTTGGAGGGTTGATGTTCACGCTCTCTCATGGGACCTCCCTAGGAAACGGGTTACAAAGCCCAATTAATGCCTGTCCTAGGCATATAGTATGAAAATGTAATTGGAATAAGGGCCTCCAGAAAAACATTCTATGCCCCTTTCCACGTTAATTGGCTACAATGGTACAAATATCAATGTCTATAAATGCATACATTTCATGGCCACTGCATTTTATGGATGGATGGATGGATAAATGGATGGATGGATAAATGGATGGATGGATAAATGGATGGATGGATTGGTGGTGGTGGGGCTTGAACTCGAGGCCTGCGTGCTGTGTCGGAGCTTTTTATTTAAGGTGGATGCTCTACCACTTTGAGCCACAGCTCCACTTCCAGTTTGGGGGAGGGGGGTGGTGTTCATTGAAGATAGGGGTCTCATAGACTTTCCTGCCCCAGGCTGGCTATGAACCATGATCCTCGATCTCAGCCTCCTAGGTAGCTAGGATGAGCAGTGTGAACCACTAACACCAAGCTGAATTTTCATGTTCAGTTTCTCAATCTTGTGCGCTGAGAAATATACTATGATCTGGCGATTTAATTTTCCCAGCCACAGAACATTGTCCAAGCTGTGTAGAAAGCCTACTCAGTCCTCACTTGGTCCACATTCACTGCGCCTGGCTGCTAATGTGAGTGAAAAGCAGAAGAAAGACCTAGAAGAGCCTGAGGGACTTCTTGGGAAGGAACACAGGGCTTGCGGAGCAGGAGTGGGTGGGAAGAAGGGACGTGTGGCTGCTCACCCGTGCTCCTGTCATTTTGATAGCATTGCTGAATCAGTGAGATAAGAACACTTTGCATCATCGTAGGCTGACTTACTTCAAAGCCTGGACAAGAAAAGTCTTTGAGACTCAAACCACCAATGAACCACCAAAAAGCTAGAAGTAGAGCCGTGGCACGAATGGTAGAACATCCTCATTGGCCATGTAGTTTGGTGGCCGTGTGTCTAGATGCTAATGGGCCATTTAGGGCTGCAGTCCAACATGTGGACATTATAACTGATGCCACAGCTTTGTCCACTAATCAACTGGACGACTACCTGCCCCAAAGAAAATTCCAGTTTTCCGATGTATAAAGGAACTTCGGTTTATGGAATTTTCATGAGTCTCCGACTCATGATCTTTCTGCCTCAGCCCCACACTGCTGAGATTACAGGCATGTGCCATCATAACTGGCTTGATTACTAAAACCAACCAATTAAAATTAAGTAATTAAATAACCAACTTAGACCATAAAAGCAGAGTACAAGGAATATGTTCATGCACAATGCTTTATAAAAAAAACAAAATGTAATACATTATTAATGCCTAGCACATGGTGTATGATCTCAGTGAACAATAAAATAATTTTAATAGTGAGGAGATTGAAAAAAAATCTTACAGGATTTTTTCAAGTTTTAATGGGCATTTAATTCCCAGGCAAAAGTCTCTAGGGAACTTTGTTTCTAGTTTTCATACGAAACTTAGATTCAGAGTAGAAAATTTTACTGGTTGTGCAAAGTAATCAATATTTTCAGGCCAGTTGTACAAGCTGTGTAACTGTTTTCTTCATGTAGTCAAGTTTGCCATCTACTGGCTATTATGAGAAACTCACCAAGAATGAGTTGTGAATGTTATATGTGTCTTTCTCTTCCTTCCTTTCTACATAATTTTTCTTCCTAAGAATGGCAGAATTCCTTCCGGGAAAATGCACAGAGCCATCCCAATACAGCAAAGCTCCAGGTACAGCACAGTTTGAGGCTGGGTGGGGCTCTCCTGCCCAGCAGCCCACTCTCCCACTGCCCGCCCTAGGGGCCCAAAAGAATGCCTCCGGTGTGAGAAGAACATTCTGGAAAACCTTTGTGCAAAAGAATACTTTATTGGATTTTTTTGTAAGTAGTTAGATCTATAGTTAATGGTTTCCCCCCCCTTTGACCCTTTGACCAACTTCAAAGGCAGTGAAGACCCAAGTGCAATTGAATGTGTCTCTTGGGTATATATGCATAGGTGTATATGTACTTCAGTCATTACACTTATTTGGATAGCATCCATATTAGTAATTTAAGTTAAAGGTGAGGTAGAGCCTATCTATTCAGAGCAATAAGACGGAGGAATGAATGCTTTCTAGGAAGAATTATTTTAATTACTTAGATTGCTACTAATAGTATGCATTTGTTGACCCCTGTGGTTTTATTATCTGATTACTATCTGATTTAAAATCTTGAATTAAGAATCTGAACAAGCCAGGCACCTGTGGTTCCCATCTGTAATCCTAGCTACTCAGGAGGCTGAAATCTGAGGATTGAGGTTCAAAGACAGCCTGGACAAGAAAAGTCTGTGAGACTCATACCGCCAATTGACTAGCAAAAAGCTAGAAGTAGAGCTGTGGCACAAATGATAGAACATCAGCCTTGAGCACCAAAGCTAAGGGACAGCACCCGGGCCCTGAGTTCAAGCTTCAGTACCAGGAGGAGGGTGGGGGGAAGAAAAAAGAAGAAGAAATTATCAAGTGGCTGTTCCCTACTCATCTTTTGTTCTCAACTTTGCATGAAGCATTCAAGAGCTTCAGCAGAAAGAAGACACTGCCTTGGTGGAGAAAAGCCCCTCGGCACCTTGGTTTCCTCATCTGTAGGAAGACAATGCTAAAACTCATGCCTAAACATCGCTTGGCAGACTCACGGTAAGTAGTCAATACATGCTGCCTTTTATTGTCATATAAAATGTTTCGAGACAGTAGAATTTCTAATGGAAAGCTCACAAGGTTAGCAGAAAATCGAACACAAACCCCAAATATTCCATTCACTAATAATTTCCACTGAAGAAAATTTTACTGTAGGAGACAACACGGCAAGCACAAGCGCGCGTGTACATCAAGAATCCATCGGGCATCCAATTCTCTGTGCCAAACACATGGTGCGGGGATTCTGAAGAGCCTGGGCTTGGTCAGGATCTAATAGAGTCCACGTGGAATCGAGTTAGACATGGTCTGCTCTATGTCTCTATGTGTGTGCTGTGCCAGAGAATCTTTAACATCCGTCACTCTAACTTCTGAATGCCATTTAAATACTTGAGGGTTATGACAGGCTCCCGCTCCTCAGAGGGTCTCATGTGGTTTGTGTTTCCTTCAGTACAGATTGACTCACAACCACGCTTGCTCATGGCTCTCGAAGTGTGAATGGTCAACATCCTGGCTTGTTCACGCCCCTCCTTCACACCTGAACTACACACAGGTAACCACGGATAGCGCCCTGTCCATGCGCAACTACAGATCATGTGTTCTTCTAACATGTTCTTTGTAAATGTAAATATCTTAGGGTCATTCGTTTCTAGGATTTATTAACCAAATTCCATAAATCTCTTCAACTATCTCTTAAATCTCGTTTTCATTCACACCGAGATCCATGGAAAGATTTAAATCTATTTATTCCCTGTCGTGGAAGGCTGGGAAGGGGGAAGGAGGGCGCTATGTGTCAGGTGTGGGGCCGAGGGTTTTCAGCCGCCTGATTTGGCTGCACTGCAGGCTTCTCCACGAATTCCAGGAGTAGTCACAAAAACACATGGGCTCGTTGCTCCGGGACATGAATTTCTTAGGGTTCCTCCTCTCCTCCCCTGGGTATGTCAGCGACAGGGAGACGAGCAGGGACATGGGGTAGATGCTACTGGAAAATATGCCAGTGTGCTAGGAGTGCTTTTGGAAACATGCAAAAGCACAGTTCTATTTTAGTTCTAGCTTTCGTAAAGATTTAACCCACTTTTTCCTGAACTGAAATGAAAGTGGAATAGAGGGCTTAGGAACACAAAATGTGCATGCTCCCCGCAACATCTACTGAATCGTATCTGTTATTCGTCTATATATGCATACATATGTCCATGGAGGGGATTCAATATTTGTGAATAAAATATGAAACAGAAGTTATAAAACTATGCTACTGGACTTGGAAACTCCACCGTCTAAGAAAAGCCGTGTATGGGAACCCAGGGGTTTGTCGAATTCTTCTCAGGCCTGACTTT